AGACTAAAGGTCCAAAATTAAGGTGTTGGCAGAGCCGCATTCCCTCTGGAAGCTCAAGGGGAGAATCTGTTCCTGGCCTCATCCAGCTTCTGCTGGAAGTCAGCATTCTTTGGCTTTCCTCAGCTGGGGCTGCCTCACTCCCTCTCTGTCTCTGCATTTACATGGACTTATTTTCTGTATGTCTGCATCTTCCCCTCCTCTGTCTCTTGTAAGGATACTTGTCTTTGGATTTAGGACCAATCCAGGTAATCCTGGTAAATTTCATCTCAAAGATCCTCAATTTTTTGTATCTGTGAAGAAAAGACCTCAAAAACACAAGCCATATGGTTTAAAAAAAAAATCTATTTTGATTACATTAAAATTAAGAATCCCTTCTTCCTTAGAGAATTCCTAATAATGTATATAGATACTCAACTGTCTAGAAGGTAAAGCTTAATTCCCCTCCCCTTCAGTATGAGCTGAACCTCATGACTCACTTCCAAGAATAACATGCAGAAAGGAAAATATTTAACTTTACACTGGAGAAAACTAGCAGATATCACCCAAGTGGTCTAGGTTAACATTGTTAAGTCATACCGATATTGTAAAACCCTTGATACATGATAAGCACATTTTTACTCCTACAGTGTTCTTCCAAGAAATGCATAAGCCCAGTCTAATCATAAAGAAAATAGCAGTCAAACTCAAATTGAGAGACATTCTACAAAATGCTTGACCAGTACTCTTCAACACTATGAAGATCATGAAAAACAAGGAAAGACTGAGAAATTGTCATAGATCAAAGGATACTAAGGAGATAAAGTAATTGAATGCAATGTGGTATCCCAGATTGGATCCCGGGACAGTAAAAGGACATCGATGGGGGGAAAAACCCTGAAATCTGAATATGTGGTTTTTCTAATAGCATTAGACCAATGTTAATTTCCTGGTTTGGACAAATGTGCCAAATTATTTAAGATGGTTAACATTAGAGGGAGCTCAGTAAAAGGGACATGGAAACTCTCTGGAGTATCTTTACAAGTTTTTGTAAATCTAAAATTATTCTAAAATGAAACATTTGCCACTTATAAAATAATCTCAGCTAAAGATATCAGAATAAATTCATATCAGCTAAAACCTACAGAAATTAACATCTAAAATATACATAGAATTCTAAGAAATTAATGAAAAAGACAAGAAAGCCAGTAGTAAAATGGACGAGCATATGACCAGACAAATCCAAGAAGGGGAAATCCAAGTGACCAATAATATATCAAGCGATGTGTTACATTATTAATAATCAGAAACATGGTAAATTAAACCAAAGAAACATATCTATATGAATCACCCTGGGAAAAAAAATTTACACTGATGAGAACGTGGGGATATGGGAAGCCTGGTTCACTCCCATCAGGAGAGGACAGTGGAACAGACATCCTGGAGGGCAAGATGGCAGTGCTACGTGGGATGAAGTGTGCAATTACCCTATGACATATGATCCCACTCCAGGGATAATGCCCCAGGAACACTCACCTAGGGCCATATGGGAGCATTTAGAAAAGGGTTGTTTATGACAACAAAGCCTTGAGCCAACAATGGGGTTGTAAACAAAACATGGTGGACACACTCTGGAAGATGACGTAGCAGAAGAATTGACCAGAAGCACATTCGCCAACATGGATAAACTCTAAAAAATTACACAGAACAGAAACAGTAAAAAGAAAAAAAGAAAAGAATGGGAAAGGAAAAAGCATATACTAAAGTGCTATTATGTGAATCTAATCATACATTTCAATGACATATTCTAAACACATTAATATGCATGTTTACTGTACATGAAGAAGACAATAGACATCAGGATGGACATGAAGGTGGGAAATACTATAATAGACTAACCCAAGTGAGAGACCATGAAGAGGCGGGTGCCAGGAGCTCCTTAGGACGCTGACTTCAATTCTTTGCATCTGTGGCCCAAACCAAAGAGAAAAGAGCAGAGGACAGACTGAGCAAGGATTTGAGATCACCTTTGAGCTAAGAGCATGAGTTTTAGTGTAGGTAGACATGGGAACATCTATAGTTCCTGCTCAGCAACCCCCACCTTTTCTTTACAGACTGATCTCAAAATAAGTCATATCTTAATGTCCAGATAAGAAGGGCATTGCACTACTTGGTTTCATTACTATAAGACATACCCCACCCCATAGCATGACACTCAAAGAGTACTTCTTTCCAAGACCTTTATAAATCTCCCCGATTCACAAAGAACCACTAGATCACCTAAGTCCCCCAGCCCCCGCCCCGTAACATGCATATACGATGAGAGAGAAACACTGTTTCTTTGAGCTCCTGGGGGCAGGGTGTTAGACTGGCTCACCAGCCCTGTAACCCCGCACGACACTCCAGCACCCCGGCCAGCAAGTGCAATTCTAATTCATGCTTCAACAAAAATACAAATTATAATATATTTTGAACCTGGAGGGTCATTTGCAAATAATGAGAAATGCAAATTTTAAATCAGTGTAAGTCCAGGGAGTGCTATACTGTGATGGCCGCTCTGGTGCACAGAAGAGTTACAGCAGTTTTTTTAAGTGTTTAATATACTCTCTGAAACAACAGAGGCCGTGAGCAAACCCTGATCATTTTCATTGACCATTTGGCCCATGGCTCAGACCACTGCAGCACGGACTCTGAGCAAATCACGGAAGATTGAAATTCTAAAAGAAGCTGTTGATTTCAAAGCTTTTAATGATTCAAAATTTCAATCAGCAGTTTTTTTCCCAGTTCATTACCCATGGACTCTGTGGATCAACCAATGTGTGCTGCCCATCTCCTCCTTAATTCCTCTCCTAATACAATCCTGTCCATCATGTTACCCAGCCCTGGAAAACAAAGCCAAGATATACATGTTCATTTTACCTTCGTTTGCTTTGGCAGCATTCCAAGAGCATGGGAAACAAAGTATAAAACCCCACCCTCTCAGAAAGCTTCTAAAATGAAGCTGCCGATCAAGCTGTGGGTTCCTTAACTGGACTGGACTGATGGGAAATTGAATGTGCGCTGGCAGCTCCGGCTGAGACAAGGGAGAGCTGCCTGTGAACAAAGAGGGGGAGAGGAGAGAATCTTCAGCTTTAAGTCAGAATCGTGTCCATCCCACAGTGTCACTCCATCTGGGGAGTCAGGAGATGAAAATAACTTGGCTTTGAAACACACACAGGCTATTCAGGAAAGCAGCTGACAATTACACGTACGAAGGGGGTACGGGACTAGGTTCCTACTGTGTAAAATTGTATGTTATGGAATTGATTGAGTTGTCATTCACAAAAGGGGATCCTTGAAGCTAGCGGGGAGATAAATAAAGCAGAAATTCAGATAAGATTCATTCAAGTCCTGCCGCCAGGATCTGTGAATTGAAAGTGTTGCAGCTTGTGAAGTAATAGGATTAAACAATGGGGTTCAAGGTCATTCCTTATTACCCTTTTCTATAAATTATCCCATTTTCTCTTTGGCTCAGTGACTGTCACTCAGCAGGGTCACTTGCTCACTGAGTCACCTGGAGCTGCAGGCAGCCAGGACTTGGTAATATTAAGTTACATGCGACTGATGAATCACTAAATTCTACCTCTGAAACTAATATTTAAAAAGAAGAAGGAGGAGGGGCGCCTGGGTGCTCAGGTGGTTAGCCGACTGCCTTTGGCTCAGGTCATGATCCCAGAGTCCTGGGATGGAGTCCTGCATCTGGCTCCTGGCTCAGTGGGAAGCCTGCTTCTCCCTTCTGATCCTCTCCCCTCTCCTGCTGTTTCTCTCTATCTATCTCTCAAGGAAATAAATAAATAAAATCTTTTGAAGAAATCCCCATGTTGTCTTAAGGATTTCTTACAACCCATTTCCCAGCCATCACCCACCCTGGCCTCCAGCCTTCTCAGTGTCCCCAGCAAGCTGTCAGGTCCCATGACTGATAGTGAATACGAGCTGTAGTGGTCCCTGGCCCAGCCTTAGGGCATCTGGTGAGCTAGACAGTGGTAGCACACAGTGTGGTTTCTAAAGGCAGGTGGCTAACTCCTGTTTCATTAGGGTTGCCTTGAGAACCAAGGAAAATCAACTCTGGATTGTGTCTTGTATGTAGTAGGTGCTCAATAAAAATGAGTTCAGTGAATGAAGGCACTGACAGTTTCCGGCAATAGCACAAGTCAGAGGGAATAAGCGTCAATCAGCATTCACTTCTGGCAGATTGCTCCAGAAGAATCAAACCCCAGCTGAGGGTGGGAGGAGAAGGAATGGACCTTACTTCCTAGGGGAGAGAATGGGCAGGGAAGTAGCAGGTGTCCAGGACTTCAGCCACAGAGACCCGGGGTCAGAACAGGGCTCCAGTCCCAGCAGGGAATGCAAACATGGGACGAGATGAACACCGCAGAGAGTGGAGGAAGTGCGTGCACACGCACCGTCTGAGGGTGTCTTGGGTAAGGTCAGCCCAGGAACAAACAGGGAGCACTGCAGAGGAGGGGGGGACCTCAGGACCCTCCCCACCCCCCAGCTGAGGACCCTGGAAGACTGCTGAACTGACTCTCCCATTCACATCTCCACCTTTCAAGACTGGCCCGCAGGCTGGAATTCATTTAAGCCGTGGACTTCCCCGTGGAAGGTATTTAATGCAAGAGCCTGCTCTAGTGGAAAGATCACAAAGGAGGCAGTTCGGCTGTGACCTTCCTGTGCCCTCAGACAAGCCACTTAACTTCTCCAAGTCACAGGTCCCTCCTCATAATTGGGGGCAATGATCCGACTTATTGGAGCATCTGGGGATCAAGAAGAGCCCACATGCAGAAGCACTCTGCAAAGAATGTAGCTATTTCTGTGTTTTGCATTGATTTCAGTGTTGAATTTGTCCAATTGAATTTTCTGGAATCATAGAAATAAAGCTTTAGTTCTGAGAAGTTTTAAGCATCCAGCAGGCAAAAAGAACATTGGAGGGAGCCAGAGAGGTCTTCTCTGGGCCCCCAAAATCAGAGGCTGCAATTGGCACCTACCCGTGGCAGCTCCCCTTCGCCAGGCTCTGCTTGAAGCCACGATCCAATCCACAGCCTCGTACAGAGTACCGCTAAGTATCTGCTGGAGGGCATGTAAATAAAACCTTCACCGAGGTAAACAGTTGCTCGGTTTTACAGCCTGTTCACACGTAACTTTTATGCTCCATCATGATCTATGGCTCCTCCGCCTTTGCAAGTCCTGGAACATGGTTCCATGTGATGTCCTCTAAGTGACAGGCAGATAAATGGTTATTTACTCAGCGGCTTTCCAGGTCCATGAAAGCCTTTATTTAAACTGGGATGCTGTCCCTAACTACCCATTAGTGGTCATGGAAATTCGTCCTAACTGGAGACGAGCCAGTTATTCTGACAGCCTTAGTGGCCCAGGGCAGAAGGTTGGGTGGGATGAGGAGGGGCCCCTGGTTCCACCTTGTTGTCGGAACCAAAGGCCGTGTCTGCCATCGGTGCATCCCACTGTGAACCAACAGGGCGTGCCTGCAGTCTTCCTAGCACATGGCCCGTGTCACAAATATGAGAAGGTTCCAGGAAAGAACTTGGGTGCTATAAAAAGCACCTGCTACTGAGTCAAGTGACTGCTGGTTTCACACCGAAAGGACCATCCAGCCGCCTGACGCAACTGTTAGGCCCAGACAAGAAAGTCAAGTACATTTGGTCCATTTTCTGCTGACACCGTGGATGTTTCTATGATGGGAGGCGAATCCCTTCTCCATTCTGAGGGAAGGAACAGTCCACAGCTTGATAACGGAATGGATCCAGATTTTACTCCCAAGATTGGTAGTTGGAATCTGCAAAGTATTTTTAATAGAAGTAACATTATAAATAAGAGTTTGAAACTGTTACCATGGTTATCGTAACAATAGTTCCGAAGTATCGAGTGCGTATTACTTGTGAGAAACAATGCTAAGCATTTGCCACAGAATATTCATGAGGTACTCGCAGTGAGCCCACAACCTAAGGTTTACCCTTTCTCTTCCCAGCTGAGACGACTAAGGCTCAGAGAGGCTAAGTAAGTTGCCCAACTTCACAAAGCTCGAGTTTGAACCCTGTGCTCTTGACCATTCTTTCACGGTCAGTGGAGAACCTTGTGTTTTTCAATCTTCCATATTCCCTAAATTTAAAAATGAACTGTTTGAATTGGACAGTTGGGAAGATATCTTGTCAGCTTTCTAGAATAACCCTCAAAACTCAATATTAACTGTACATGGGTGACTTAGGAGGACATGCGTCCACGCAGAGGACCAGGTGAAAGATGAGAGCGAACACAGAAGCCAGGGGTAGAGGAAGAAGTCAGAGACAATGAAGGAAAGCCGATGGAAATGGGAGAGAAGAGTGCTTCGTGGAAGAGAAGGTAAACAGAAGGGCATTCCAGGCAGAGGGATGGTTTGAACAGAAACGTGAAGAAGGCTGGAGGGTGGGGAACTCGGAGAAGATCTGTGGAGAGAGGTCGGAGGTGGAGGGTGAAAGCTTTGAGAATCCAGAACTCTGGATTCTAGCCCATCTCCTGACTAGCACCCTTTTCCACCTCATGTGGACTCCATGAACAAAAATAAAATGAATGCTGGAACTGCTGGCAGCTGGAAGACAAAAGAAACCGTTGTCAACACCTATGTAGACCTTGTATTTTTTTTTTAAAGGGTGAAATTTTTTTTTCTTTTTTTTTTTTAAGGGTGAAATTTCTTAAAGTCATATTTATATTAAGAATCACCTCGCCCTTTGAAGGAATGAAAAAGATGATTTTCACATTTTCAAAATACGAATGATAATCCAGCACACTAAATCATTACAAACGCTCGGGGTATGTGATCCTGGGCCAGGTCATCTAGGATGCTTTTTTTATTCTGTACGCTGGCCTCAACAACCCGGCCGGGTCTCTGCACTCAGCAGGTGCTCAGTAAACCTGGGAGACCGGAGTTTCTGGGCAAATCTCCAAGCTTGGCAAGTAACGGGAATATTAAGCAGGGAAACTGAGGCAGAAGCCCAATTATGAACAAACTCGGTGGCATTTCAAAAGACAGCCACCTGGAGCTTCCTCGGCTACTCAGGACTCAGCCCACCCCAAGAAAGAATTGAATGCCAGGCCCTGCTCCGGGCGCAGCAGAGAAACACACCCTCGATGAGTGCCCCGCCTGTCAGGCACTCAGAGACTCTGTGTCCTAGCACTTCCTTCACAGTGGAAATTAACCCAGGGACCGGTGGGGCGGAGCTTACAGTTCGAGGGCATGCATGAGTCCCCGGCTAGGAGGCTAATGGGGAAGGAGGGGAGGCAACAGGTACAGGGACCAGAGCAGGGACCCTCCAAGACCAGACACATGTGGTCTTCACTGGTCCTCTGCAGCTGTGCAAGGAGGGAGCCTCCTCTCGACACCTACTGCTAAGAGACAGGATGTTTATTTTAGCTTTGATTTATTTTGACCTTGTGCCATGGGAACACATGGCCCCTTTGCAGCCCAGAAAGGGCCAGCCCAAATGTTTGGGCTTCATCCCATCCCTGCTGCACCCATCCTGGAAACCTTTGGTTTGTCAAAAGCTGCATTTGGTCCTCTGTGCGGTCTCCTCCCTCTGAGGTGCATGTTCCTCCCACCTTGTGCCCCTCTCTGCCTTCACCTGCCGGCTTACACAGGACTTCCCAAGGGAGGCCTTTCCTCCCAGACCGGGTTAAACAGCTTGCTCTGTACAACCCATAGGACCCATTGCCTCCCCTTTGCATAATTCTTAGCACACTTGTCATTACTTATCTCCCGCCTCCCTAGACCCTGGAAGCAGGGCTTGTGTCTGTCTTGTTTCCCACCGTGTCCTTTGCACCAAGCACAGGACAGGTGCTCAGCAAATATCTGAATGAGTGAGCGTGTGGGGCTGAGTCCCATTTCTATGGAAAGTAAGTTTCAGGGAATTTGCATCAGTCTGTTGTGAGTTGCTATCAGTCTGGGACAGAGCCTGATCCACGGTGCCTGGTTTGCTGCTGAAACATTATAGAAACTCAACTTAAAATTGGGGGACAGGGGAAGGGAGAGCAGGAGATGCAATTCCCTCACACCAACCCCTCCCCTCTGTCCAACCCTAGAAGACCAACTTGAAGTTCATCTACCACAGGAAGTCCCTTCCCATTACAGCTTCCTCTTCTGAAGACCCAAGGATCTAGATGTGCCATCCATTTGGCACTTGTCACCTGTCTTTTTTATGTCTCTTCACGAGCTCCTTAAAAGTAGAAGCTGTATCTTCCCTTTCCTTTAGTCTCTTGGCTCTTAAGCCCCTGCACAAAGTCTGTGCTCAATCTATCTTCATTGGGAGCTAATGAGAAATTGAATGTGTTCCCAAAAAGATTTTTATAAGCTCCTTCCCTGGCAGACTTGGAAAAATAGGGTAGATTTTTAGGTGTGTGGGAAAGCTGAGTGAAGGGCTTTCTCAAAAGGTGAACTGTGTAAGTCCCTCTCCAAGCCTACAATCCTATGAAAATAGGTGTCCTATCAATACTATAAAAATGAGAAAATGCTCTTTTGTCTTCCTTCATTTGAGACAAAGCCTGGCCTGTCAGATGTGCTCAGGTTTCAGAGGGTTCTGGAACAATGGGTGGCATTCTTCACTCTGACTTAAGGTAAACACAGCAGGCTCCTGTCCGATGGAAGACAGATAAGCAGCCGGCTTGCAAACGCTGAGGACGGGTTCCCTGTAGCCCAGGAAGGATCAGCAGCACCACAGACGGGGCCCTGTTGCTTTGCAGATGGGGCCTGGCTTCCCCAGGGGTCCTTCCCTGAGGCCCTGTCCCCACACCAACTGGCTCACTGCCCTGGCCTGGGGATCATGCCGGAAACCTTGCTGGGCCTTGGCCCCACAGCTTCCCGCAAGGGACTCTGCAGGCTTCTCCACACCTTCCCTCATGGGCAGAGACGGGAAAGCGCCCCCCCCACCCCGTGACAGACCCCTGAGTGTGCCTCGAAACCATCCGCCTGCTGCCATGTCACATTTAATTACTCCCTCACTACAGAATCATCCTTGCCGCTCCTTGAGACTAATGAGTTGCTGCGCAGCCCTCCAACTGGGGATTACGCCATACAGCATGTGGAACCAAGGTCGGCAGGGATCGTTCTAAAGCTCTGATTACTACACGGTCACCTTCTCTTTAACCTGAAAACCTTAATTTCTCATCTTTCAAATGGAAAAAATTATAGAGTACTTTGGAGGAGGCAAAGGGTGTTGCTTGGTTGTTTGTTTTAACTACATGAAAGCCTTGGCGATCAATACCTAAATCCTCAAAGCTTCATTGACGCCAGCTCTGGCTCACTCATCTCCCAAGGAGGCAGGCTGACCTTTGCCTCCAGAGAGCAGGAAACGACAGCCTCGTGATGGCATTTTGCCCAGAAGTAATGCGAGGAGTCGGAAAGATGTTGTTGGAAATACACCTGTAGCCCTACCTAGCTAGTTTCATCATTCAAGAGACCCTGTGCAATCCTTTTATCCCAATTCCTCATTGTTGGATCTGCCACCAGTGGTAGGACCCTGAATCTCACCCAGAAGACGTTGCGTCTCACCAGATTTGCTGCACCCACAAAATAGAAGTCATGGAGAGCCACCTGGATTTTACTGGACACTCCCTACACCTGGCCTATGGCTGCTAGGCATGTGTGGCAGCTCAACAGTTGAAACGTGACTGCCCTGGGTGCCTGAGTGGCTCAGTGGGTTAAGCATCTGCCTTTGGCTCAGGTCGTGATCCCAGGGTCCTGGGATTGAGTCCCACATCAGGCTCTCTGCTCACCAGGGAACCTGCTTCTCCCTCTGCCTCTGACCCTCCTCCCTGCTCATGCTCTCTCTCTCAAATAAATAAATAAAAGAAAAAAATAAAGAAAAGAAACATGACTGCCCTAAATGGAGATGTGTTATAAGCATAAAATGCACACTAGATTTTAGAACTTAGAACTTTAAAATATGCAAAATATCAGATTCATGATTTTTTTTTTATTTGATGATAGAGTACAATGAAACATTTTGGAAATATCCGGCTAGATCAGGGTT